TTTCTTATCTTCCCTCATCTTATCCTCTATGGTAGCACCGACCTCATAAAATTGTGAAAACTCAGTCAGAGGCATGTAATATCTTCTCTCGGAAAGCTAGCAAGGTTCCCTTGATGAAGATTTTGATCTATTCCTTAGCATTGGGTCGATTTCTCATTTTTGTGACCTTGGCTCTCCATATAGCAATGTAATCAGTGAAAGACTCATCACTTTTCTACACCTTATCTTCTAGATCTCTCAAGGTGACACTCTTCTGGAGGTTGTAAGCATATTCCTTCAGGAAGACTGTAGTGAGCTCGTTCCAATCTCTCTTTACTTTCTTCTCCAGGTTATAGTACCAAGTCTGAGCTGACCCGGTCAAAGACATAGGGAACATCTTCAAAATCTCTTTTGATGGCAGACACGCCAATTCCATCATAGCTTTATACTACATTACATGCACCTTTGGATTGCCCATGCCATCATATTTCGACACTTTAGGCATCTTGTAGGTCAAACGAATATAGGTCTTTAGCTCAAGCTCATCATCATCATCATCATTAATATCCACATATTGATCCACCCCTTTTGATTTCATGAAGACGTGAAGCTTCCCCAATTACTTGTCTAGCTTTTCAAACTTCTCAGAAATGACCAATTCAGACTCGCCTTCTTAGTGGGTACTTTCTTAGCAAAGAATTCCTCATCTTGCCACGTGTCATCCACTTGCTCTTTTCTCTCAGATTCGCCTTTGGCTTCATCGCCCCCTTATTTGATCGTAGAAGCTTCTCTAGGCTGGCAACCGCTATTTTCTCAACTAGTTTCTTAATCTACGAAATGGAAACACTGGCTTCACCTACATTATCAACAGAGGTAGAAGTAGAAGTTGCTTGAATTGGGAGGGTTCTCAATCTCAATACGGGAGCCCAAAGAACTGGCGAAAATCGAATTAGGAAGGTCGGAGAGGATTGAAGGTTCTTCAACTCTAACCAAGCGATTATCTGCTCTCAACCAGTTGATCTCTTGCGGAGCCTTCTCTCTTCGGGGCGCTATCTTGACTGTGCAAAATAAAGGTTAGAAAACACCACATGATGCATGTATGCGTGAATGCGTGAATATGGTATGGCATACAAAAATGCAAACACACAACACATCGTGAAATGTGACTAATGTTATATTCCATCATGGCTTTATCATGACCGTTCGAGACTAAGATCAGAAAAGGGCTCTTAAGAACTATCAAGGTCAAAACACGCCCTATTTTATAGCCAAATATTTATAATGACCTTTTTCTTGTTATTTTTTTGTATCCCTTTCTTTTTGCCTCAAGCATGAAGATACTCGAGCAAGATTTTTATTTATATACATTTGAGGATTTTCTTTTTTTCTCTTCTTTTCTTTTTTTTTTTTTTTTTTTTTTTTTTTTTTCAAAGGTTGACTTTTTACATTGATATTTCTTTTGGCCCTAACTAAATATTTACAACTTTGAAACTCATAACTTAAGAGGTTTGGTATGGCCTATCATCCTCTAAGGTGAAGTGCCGAATCTCTACAAGGCGATTGTTGATATTGCACATAAGCGTGAAACGCACCTCCACACCTTGGAAGAGGGTCATGGCCAAAAGTTGAGCTTGTTTAATTTCAAGCAAGAGTTGATGAGCCTCTTCTAATTGGTCTTCTTTAGTCTGTGTCAGAATTGGAGGAGCTTCCCTCTTAGACACTTGAGCTTCAGCCTTATAATCAACATTTGAAAGAGCTCGTTTTGTTTCTAGCACCTCTCTCAAGCCCTTCGTCCTTTGGCGCTTTGAACGTCGAGATCAAGTCATGCTAAAATATTCCTATATGGCTATAATAAACCAAGTTAAGTGATGCATAAGGAAAACTCAACACAACTATGGCATAAGTATATACAAACAAAGGAGAACAGGAGTTGGGAAATACTGACCTCCACCCTTATATCTTCCACACACGATTCAGGGTCAATAGTTTTTTCTAAAATCCTAGGTCATATTGTGTCAGACCCTAAAAATGGAGATGTGACGGTCCTAGGATCCAGGTAGGCTTAAAGCCACAGAGTACAGTGTAGAACCAACATCTGAATCAATCTTATCATAGATGTGTCACTTTATATATATATGTCATTAGTTAGATATATATATATATTATATATATATATATTATATATATATATATAATATATATATATATATATATACTTATATATTTCCAATTACTTTAGGGATATTCAATTACTTAGGTGAGCCATGGACTTTTCACTTTGTTTAACTAATTTCCCAAAACATTTTTTTTTATACATTCTCTTGCACTTTTATTAAATAAAGCAAATTGCTCTCATACAATTCCTCCGATATTGATCTTTACATTCACACTCAACTAATACCCTTTACAAATGTCTATGGAGCAACTAAAGTTATCCATTCAATACATAATTACTCATAAATTCTTATTTGATTACATCACTTACTTATATTATCTTATAGTCAATTACATTATGCACTTGCTTCCTATCGAAAGAAGAAGATCAAGAAGCTGATATAACTAGATTACTTCCACCTAAAACACATGGACGCTTTGATGAGACGTGAACCCAGTGAGGATACAGTGCCAAAATAATGACAAACAACTAAAATATTTCATGGTTTGCAAATCAAATTATTACAGTATGATTATATCATTATAACTCAGTACAGATTTAAATTCATATAATCAGAATTCATAATAAACGGATCACTTATTGTTAATGTGATATCAATCATATAACAGATAAATATTTAGACAACACTTAAGAAAACATATTGCTATGTACATTTCAATGTTATCTTATTTCACACAGATATTTCAGATAATTCTGACAATTCATAATTTTCCACAAAAGCACAATTTACTTAAAATTCACTATTTTCACATAGACAATACTGAAGAAAACATATTGCTATGTACATTTCAGTACTATCACTTAATTCACAATTCTCAGGCAGTAACTTCTCCCTTCGAATGCATTCACTTTCACCTATATGCACATAGTCTGATGGTATAACCCTCATCAAGGTTGGGTTTTATCATTTAGCCCAAACAATAGCATAGCACAAACAAAATCAATGATAATAGGAAACTGGATAGATTCTTTCAACCATTCTAACAACATGGATTGGATCAAATAATTTAAGCACACACAGAGAAGGGGTTAAACACCATAACTCACCTTGGAAGCAATAATTTGTTTCCTCTCGATCATTTAGAATTTCAAAACAATTTCTTGGCAGTCCTCGACCTACAATCAAATTTACACACATTAAACTTTCAGTTTTTTTTTTTGCTTGTTTCTAGCTCCTCTTTGATATTTAAATTCTTTAACATTCTTATTCATAGCCACATTTATTCTTTATATTCATCAAATGTTGTAAATTTATATTTTTTTAAACAAACCAATTAATTAAATTTCTTATAAATTTATTTATCACTTTAAAGTCAATATTTCCTTAAGCATACATTTAAATTCATCTATCTACTTCATTAATTAAAAGAAACGTTAGATTACTTCAATCCATTTATTGAAATCATTTAGTTAAAACTTCATTTTCTTTATAGATCATATTTCACTTTTCAAACTAATTTAGTAATTATCCTTTTAGATTTCATTTAAAATAAGTATTTATATCATTCACTAAACTCAAATGCATATATTTACATATACTTATTTATTTTACCAAATATGCGATAAAAATCCTTAAATTTCTTTACTTTACTCATTCTCAAAACATCACTTAAAATTTCATTTCCAAGTACTTTATTAAATCCAATCAAATTTTGCATTTACTTAACTAATTTTATTCCTTCATCAATTTACTTCCTTATTTAATAATACAGTTTGTTATTTTATCTAATAACTTAATTCTTTGATAAATCTCTTTTTCTGTCAAAAATCTAGCAGTATTTTCTTTATTATTTGATCTGTCTGAATTTCACATGTATTACAATAATTACACAGCCCATCCATCGGGTTCCTCATATTAATTTCCCATCTGCCAGTTTGTTATTTTATCTAATAACTTAATTCTTTGATAAATCTCTTTTTCTGTCAAAAATCTAGCAGTATTTTCTTTATTATTTGATCTGTCTGAATTTCACATGTATTACAATAATTACACAGCCCATCCATCGGGTTCCTCATATTAATTTCCCATCTGCCAGTTTGTTATTTTATCTAATAACTTAATTAGGGATGTTATATAACTTGTTCTCCTCCCTCTTCCTATGAAGTTTTACTCTATATTTTAGTTCTAAATGTATGATTGACATAGTTTTTCTAAACTATGCATTGAACAAGTAATTCTTCTACTCACATGTATTTAATTGCATTATTTAAAGTTACGTGAATCTTTGTGACGTATGAGTGAGGTCGTTTAATCCATGATCGATACCTAACAACTTTCCCTCTATCTTACCTAACTACTAAACCCCGTCTTAAGTTAAATCGAGTTAGTCGATTCAAAGAATTGACTAATTTCAAAGTATTTTTCCTATATAAAGAGTTGGACTCCAAAAATAAAAACTGCTTTACCAAAATAAAGAACCAATTTTCCGAGAACTTAAAAACGAATGGTTACGTTAGAGGAAAACCGTAATTTTTTTAATCTAAATGAGACCAATCCTGTTCAAACATTTTATTGAAATCATTAGTTAAAACTTCATTTTCTTGTATAAATTCATTATTTCATCTTTTCAAACATTAGTTTAGTAATTATCCTTTTAAGATTTCATTTAAAATATATTATTATAAAATAAGTATTTATATCATTCACTAAAATCAAATGCATATATGTCATGATCCAAATCCGTGAGCCGAACCGGCAGACCGGCCAGGTAAGCATAAAGCCCCCAAGGCCCATAGTAATCCTATCTTTCAACTCATGCATTCCACACAAATTATTAGAATCGGTAAGCCCATATAAATTAGGATATATGTATACAATAATTTCACAATCATGGCCCAGTCTCAATTATCTTGAATACAATTTAATCGGGACCTAATCACATTACGTCACATTCATAATATGGGCTGCCAGTTCACATGCGCTTAATTAAACAACAAGATCATCCAAATAAAAAAAAATACACAATACCCTGTGACTGCGAAGTTCAACAATAATTTGAGAGTAGAATAGTGTACATATTTAATAACACAAATTAGTTAATGATAATAATAACAAAAAAAAGTTATAAATTTACTTTTGTGGAAAATTGCAGAGTTTCGGTCGATTCAGTAGCTTCCTATTACCTGAGAAGTTTGGATAGAGAGGGAGGTGAGTTTTGCAACTCAGTGAATAATAATAAATAATACACATCACACACATTCACGCATAATGCACCCTAATATTCTAAAATGAGCATACTACAATATTCTGAAAAAGAGCAACTACAGATCAATCATATGGCACCACACCAGCACCCACAAGTAATGTCACTTCAATAATTAACATGTGGAAAATTTAGTCAGTGGCGATCACCTAAAACCCCCAACGAGCCGTCCCCACACATGGCTCCGCCATATAACGTGTGCACTAGGAGCCGATCCCGCATACCTGGGCGACGGTCTAATCCTCACTTGACCAACCCTCTCATTTTTTTCATTGTTTTTCCATTCTCTCTTTTCCTTTCCATACCAACAGGAGGCAACCCGGTCGTCTCCATCAAATCTAGATCATCAAGCGCACACAACAGGATGCCACCTTGCGGGCTACCATCAAATCCAGATTATCAGGCGCACCCAATAAGAGACCACCCTGTGATTTTCCATATCATCCAGATCACATCATCAGGTGCACATGGGGTGCCGATCTCCCATACGGCCAAAAGTCTCGTAGACCACCCTCACAAAACCATGGTGACCCACTTCATTCCAATTCCACACATACAAGGCACAATAATTCGCAGCACAAGTAATCAAGCAATTCACTTTACATAATACACAAATTCATCTCAATGCACAAACGTAAATATATAGTAACATATTATATTTATAAAATATTCATAAAATATACTGATGTTATTAAAATAATTTAAAATTATTATAGGATATAGTATACTATATATAGTAATAATATCAATCTAAACTTCTGTTGCTATAATATTATGTATATATACACACACACAAACACACAGGTATATACAATGGCTGATAGCAAATGCATATATATATTAAACTTCTGTTTATATATATATATATATACACACACACACACACACACACGGTATATAAATGCTATACAAATGCAATACTGATATGCATTATTTATTATTACTCACAGTGGTGGAAGCTGAAGCTCTAACTCTAATTCTGACCTTGTGGAGCAATAGATGGGCCTGGACAATCTAAGAAATTTAAGAATACAAAGAAAGAATTTGTATCGGACAAAGGACTTAATATTCTACCGAAATTTCGGCAGCATCTCCCCTAAAAATTGGACTATCCACTTGTTAAAATATCAACAATATATCTAATATTTTCCAAACCACAGCCCATCCGTCGGGCAGTCAATCAATCAAATTTCCCATCCTCCATCAATCTTCAACATCACCACACAATTAAAATTATACATTACAATACATTATATCTAAACTACCTTAACTAAATCAACAATAAAATTATAAAGCTATTAACTACTCACATTTACCAATTTAAATTAACTACATTAATTAACTACAAATAATAAGATTACTTTAATTAACTAACATTAACTTAGCTAGATTAATTAATTACAAATGATAATAACATTAATTTCATTATCTAATATTACTAAATTAATTAACTTCAAATTACAGATCAACACTAAGAATTAAATTAACTTGATTTGCCATAAATACTAGAAATCAATTAAATTTCTGGAAAAAAAATAACCAGAGTCAGTCTCAATACCCAAAACTCAGCGTTGTCGGAAATCCGTTGGCAGGAGACAGTGGTGCTCGCCGGAGTCGCCTGACCACGCAAGGTTCGTCGGAAAGTCAAAGTGAGCGCCGAACGTACCGAGACAAAATTGTCTCTGGCGTTCCCATTGATCCAGGAGGGAAGTCGCGCCGTTCACCGGAATCGCGAGCAGGAGAGAGCGGCGATCGAAGCAGGGCTGTTGGCGCTACTGAGTTCCCTGAGAGCGATCGCGAAAGGGAAAGAAAGAGAGTTGCAACGGCAGTGGCGCGATGGAGGCTCATCAGCGCGACAGAGAGGGTCGTTGAGTTCGCCGGAGTCGCGACGACTTCAAGCTAGCAGAGTCGCGGCTGCTATGGTCTTTGCGCTCACCTGAAATAGGGACGGAGAAAGAGAGCAAGAGGAAGAGAAGGAGAGAGGGAGAGGGCGGCAATGTGCTAGTGGCGCGAGAGGATCGCCGGCAACTGGGAATGCGCAAAACGGGGAAGAGGGGTGAGGTGAGCACTAGAAATAGGAAGAAAGAGGGAAAATTCCAGAAGGGTTTGGATGGTTTAGGCTGGTTTGGTTCGATTCAGGTTTGGTTCGGTTCAAATCATGGTTTTCAATTGATTTTTGATTTTTCAATCGGTTTTGTTCGGGTTATCAACTATACAAATCATATATTTACATTTAATTGGTTAGATAAATTTTCTAGGGTGTCAGTCTATTAAAATTTAAATCAAATGTTTTGAAAATAAAAATTCGGATTGTTTCAATATATTTACATATACTTATTTATTTTACCAAATAAATATGATAAGATTTTGAGATAAAAATACTTAAATTTCTTTACTTTACTCATTCTCAAAACATCACTTAAAATTTCATTTCCAAGTACTAATCAAATACAATCAAATTTTGCATTTACTTGACTAATTTATTCCTTCACAAATTTACTTCCTTATTTAATAATACAGTTTGTTATTTTATCTATTACCTTAATTTTTTGATAAATCTCTTTTTCTATCAAAAATCCAGCGGCATTTTCTTTATTATTTGATTTGTCTGAATTTCACATATATTACAATAAATACACCCATCCGCCGTTTATGATATTTCACAATTAAGCAAATTAATATCTATTCCAATTTTTTATTAACTCATTAAACTGTCTTAATTTCAAACCCGTATAGTTAACAAATTCTTGTTATCTTTAGTTTTGCTAATTCTAATAATTTGTCAATTTCACTAATGATTAATCGTATTATCAAGTTCAAACAATTAACTTAGTTATCTTAATCAAAACTAATTTAATTCAATAAACATAATTTTCCAACTTGCAATTATACTGAAATATGACAAACTAAATTTAAATTGCTAAATCATAAATATATACCCTCTGTAATTTCGGGTTTCAAAATCTGGTTTAGTGTGAGAAGCAGGTATTTCTGCTTCCTGGAGGTCTCACCAGTGACTAGTCAGCCGGTCACCAAACAGTAGCCGGCGCCGTCGTCCACGGTGGCCGGGAAATCCAAACAGCCAGAAATGCCAACTTTTTACATCAATTTGCTCCGTTTCATGAGGAGATCTCCGATCTCAGGTCTGATTAACGAGATGGGTACCCTAGAGACCAGAAATAACCCTAGAAGTCGCTAAAGGGACTGTCGATCATGGTGGCTTCACCATTCTCCATCGGAAACTCAGTTTAACAGAGGGGAAAAAATCACACAGAGGAGATGAAACGATCGGCACCCCTCCTTCATGCTGCAACCACCGGCAACGGTGTGGATCACCGAAAACCTCATCGCGCGACATCGCTTGAGTTCCAGTCACTTTCTTGTTTCAGGCTTCTACCTCGCAAATCAAGACCATAGGTGAGTTCCTCTCGTCGGGGAGATTGAACGAGAGAGAGAGAGTCATTCTTTTTCATTTTTTTTTCTCTACCCTATTTCATTTATTGTTATATATATCGAGAGCAGGATAGTCAATTCTGTTTCATTTTTTCTTTTCCCTCCTCTTATTTCATCTATTGTATATATATATATATTAATTATATATATATTATAGTATATAAACTGAAATATTCATAATTACCATAAGTTCATATTGTTGATCCAATATATATTAACTTGTTGATAATAAACACTTTAATAGTTGACTATATATATAAACTAAATATTTAATTACCATAATTCATATTTTGACCAATAATTATTAATTGTTGGTAATAAACACTAATAGTGAACACAATTTCTTAATTTCCTTATTTCTCTTTAGTTACCTTCATATATTTATTTTTATTATAAAATAAATATCAAAACCTCTATTGATTTATTTTATTTTGTCAAATATTCTCTACCAATATCACTGGTTAAGATTTTGATAATTAAATGCTAGAAATTTAATAAGCAAATATAATTATTAATAAAACCAAAATCAAAGAATTAACTATTCAATAAATTTTAAAATTAAACTCACAATAAAATTAGGAAACGATCCAATTAAAATTATTTTATGAAATATTTCAGTTTTCAAAAATCTAGGTATTATATATTGGTTGGACTCATAAATCATCATGGGGTTTTGGACTGACGCCTCTCTCATTTACTGTATGAATGAAGCAATCATTAGTTATTAAGGTAATTCTAAAGGAAGAAACTAGGGTCAATTACATGAGCTTTGGTCGGGTTTATTAATTCTTGGATTCCATAAGCGAGCATTGGTTGTTTCCTCCCCTTTAACTTTGGGTCTAAGCAAATGGTGATAGTAGATTGTGTCAATTCTTCTGATATACTAAAGGTACTTGACTTATGGTTGGCATATATTAGTGGCGGATCCCAACATTCGAATAGAGTGAAAGGATCACAACCTCGAATATCACCTTTAGGGTTTAGGGTACAAAAGAGATTAGAAGAGATAAATGTATGAATGACATTTAAAAATGTGCAAAAAGCAAACTCAATTTAAAGTTAATAATATTATTAAAGATTTTGAATAAGTGGACAACTTTTTGGAGTCAACCACTCACTCAAACCCAAAATCGAAAATCAGAGATTCTCGGTTTAATCCCTAGTGGAGTCGCTAGGCTGAGGATGCTTATTATTTTTTGAACTTTCCATAAAAGGAAAGATGGAAATGGGCTTTGGTTAATTTTATTCAATAAAGTGGTTTTCTTTTATTAAGCTCGTTTATTAATCCTCAGAAAAGGCAATCCCTTTGAAAAGGGATTGTAAAAAGGTCTCTTACATTGTTGGTAAGAGTTTTTAGTTTTAAGAGTCGCCACCCTCTTTAGGAAAAATTCTCGAATTAGTCGATTCTTTGGAATCGACTAACTCGATTTTAAATGAGAGATATTAAAAATTAAGGTACAATATTGGGAAGGTGCTCCGCACCCAGATCGCCCAGTTAAATCGGCCTTCTCATTGTCCAGTAATTCACAATGATTTAATAAAAAGATTAACTAAAATTGAGATGCAAAAAATGATTTTAATGCAATTTTTCAAAGGAATGTCAAACATGCAAACAATATCATACATTGTACATAAAATTAAATCATCCATAAGAAACGCGGGGAGGAGAAAACATTACAACTGATCTCCTAAAATACATTCTACCCAAACCCTATTAAAATTTCTCAACCAATAATTACAACCAAGCAATTATTAGGAATCCATTTAGGACCTTTAACATTTAGCCAATATACAATGAAATGAAAGCAATAAAGAATAAACCATAGAAAACAAACATAACACATATGACATTGACGTAAACATAATCCCATACACAGGAACATAAAACACTCATTCATTCAATTTATACCTAAAATGATGCATGTTTATGTTCCAAGGGTAATGTGTAATGGGTTAGTACGGTAATAACCATAAGACAATGAATAAAAGGGCATAAATCTAAAGGACAAAATATTAAAATTGCTTAAAAGTAAATGACATTAAATTAAAAGTAATAAATTCATTTATGGACAAAAACGCATTCCAGATCAATAAAGTCTAGAGCTTTACCACTAGATCTCCAAATCCGGTCCATTCTATTGTTATTTATCAATCTAGACCTCTGAAATGAAGTGTCTGGCACCAGAAGAGAAGTGGCGTGTGTCACATAGGTGTAGCGTGTATCGCATGTAGTAGCGTTAGGCACTTTCCCTGATCAGGAAGATCATAGATGGAAACAGAGCTTAAAGGGGTGTGTCTGTGGAGAAGTGGCGCAAGCCGCTTGCTTGTGGCGCACGCCACACGTAGTGGCAAGCTTTAAAGGGCCCTGTGTCGTGAGAGATGTGGCGCAACTGCTGCTTGTGCGACCACCTAGTGCTTATTCACCATTGGTTCTCAGCATACCACTTCAGCGCGACTTCCTCTCTTTTCTTGTGTGATCTCAGATCCGCTCACGAACCAGCACAAGATAGGTTGATTTATCCACCAATGAAAGCAAGACATGGAAAAGCTGTTAATTGTAACATCCCTTCCCGATATCCACCCAGTAAGACCAATGAAACCGAACAGACGCTACCAGAACTGGTTGATCTTACAGATGACTGGGTCGAGTGCTGACTCATAAAATGATATGACTCATTAGTATCAATTGCTATATGTGCTACATCTAATACATGTACATTAATACTTTATAAACCATTATATATCAGTTTCAAAATGAAATGGGCCCAACTGTGTGCCCGTGTACTGCATGAAAAGGATAAGACAAAAGATACACAGTCAACAATGAATACAGCTACCCTGAAGACTGAGCTTCTACAGCATCAAGCGAGGCAGTTGAGTACGCTGACCTTACGTTTCCATGATCCTCAAAACCTGCGAGTTATTAAACAAGTTAACTCGTTCTGAGCAATAAAGCTAAGTGATTATACTCAACATAGAAAGAAAACAATAAGCACATACCATGTGTAGTAAAAGACATGTAAAAACATATGGCACATATAAGCACACATATCATCATACTATTCATTTACTCTTTATGAATGCTTTCTGCGTTATATATACTTATCATGATTCAGCAAGTTTGTCAAGATATCTGTATGCCTCCATAAGTTATAGTGAAACGACCAGTGATAAAGAAAAAAACTGTATGCAAACTGATAAACTGATTGCTCGCTTCGTAATGACCCATAATAATCACTATCCACTCAACGGCCTGTAGCTGTAGTACACAAACGTTGTTGCAAATCTTCTATCCTATGCTCGCACATAGCCTTATCTAACATGTTCTACATAACTCAATGGAGAATTATGTTGATATCAATAAGTTAATAACACAACAGCATATTAATGGTTTCATAACTTCATAAATCATAATGTTTACTTGGTTTCACATCATTTGCATGCTTGCATGTTGTTTTGATACATGTTCTTATGTTTTCTTTTTGTTTTAAAATGATTGGAGGCATACAAGTTGAGCAAAGGAATATAATTGCATAGAAAATGAAGTCCAAAAGAGCATAAAAACACAAGTCGCGAGCGCGCCATGAAAAGTCGCTAGCGTGAGAAGCACACAAGAGGGTCAGAGAGTTTACAGGCCAAATTCGTGAGCGCGCAATGAAATTCGCAAGCGCAAAAAGCACCAAATGAGAGTCAGAGTTTTCCATGCCTGCGCAGTCTGTACTATTTAGATATATATAAATTTCTGCAATAGCCTAAGTATTAGCAATAATAATTGCAGTCATAATCATGCTACACTCATTCTTAAACTATAATCAAAGAATTCATGAAAATATACTGAAATAGGGTCAAAAATCAATTTACCTAGCTATAGAATGTGTGGAAAATTGAATATTTCCGGTTAAAATGATCGAAAATAGCTCGAATGCTCAAAACCGATACTGTTGGTGCGAACTTGGATGGAACTGACGAGGACTGTGGCCAACAAAGCTATTAGCGTCATGAGGAGGGTCTAATCGACCGGTCCTTGGTTGATCTTGTCGGAGAATCGAAGAGAGGAGCTGCAGGAGGCTGTGCCGATCGGAATAGCACAGCTCGCCTTTGCTGCGCCAGCGGAAACAGAGAGAAAAGGAAACTGGAGGTGGAGGAGTGGTGGTCGAAGGCACTGGTCTCAGGTGATTGGAAAACGAGAGAGGGGAGGGGGGGGCGGTGAGTTCGCCAAGAAATTCTACTTACTTGGAGAAATAAAGGTTGACTTAATGCTTAACTATCGTGAAAATGGATGGAGAAAGGAAGGAGATGAAGAAGATGAAGATAAAGATGAAAATGGGAAAGTGAAATGATATGCACGGGTAGGCTCTAAAATATCAATGACTTTGTGTGTAAAAGTTCTAAATGGTACCTCAATTGTAAGAAGGTTACAACTTAACACCCAAGCTGTATGTTTTAGTGCAAATAAATCCTAACCTGCAAGTAAATCCTAATGCCTTATACTTTGATCTTTTTCTCTCATTCAAGTAAGTCCACTTATAATCCCATTCTAACCCCAACCGGGTTTAGTCCACTTATAATCCCATTCTACCCCAACCGGGTTTGGTTCAGCCCGACTCAACTCGACTCTATGCAAAGACTCGACTCAGTAGGATGTCACATTAATGGCTCTCAGAAACTACCTTTTTGGAGATTTCCAAAGATTTGTGTGAGAATGGATAAAAGAAACTCAAAAGTTGCGTTTTGATCCAAAAATCCAAGTTTGAGATTAGATGAATGTGTTTATGGACTTTTCAATCAATGCTTATTGTGGCTTGACATTTCAAACAGTTGAGTATAAAAATCAATTGGCAAAATTGCCCTTAGAAAAAGAGAAGACGACTGATATCAAATCACTCTCACCTTAATAGCATCAATTCCTTTTCCATGTCTTTTTAATTCCTCAAATATTCTGCAAGCATTACAAAAGAGGCAACAAAGAGAAAAACGCATACGTTAGTTATAACTAGATTACTAGTTTTTTTACATGTTACTTATACTAAG